GATTGGGGTCGGGGATTGATTCTCTCTGTATCTCTCTCTCCGCTCGTGTCCTGCTTCACTCCCATCTGCATTTCTGCACTCAGAAGGGAATTTCAAACAGCTGCCGGAGGCTTCAGGTCGATGTAGTATTTACAGTGTAGTGTGTGATGTGTGTGTGTGTGTGTGCAGGTGAGCGCTGCTGACTGAGAGATAAGACGCTCTCTGATAACACACTCCGTCTGTGACCCTCCAGAGTTTGTTGAATTTACGTGGAGCTGGAATCTAGTCAGCTGGAAAAAGGAGGATAATGATGTGCCAATCACTGATGGGAGGATTGGGGAAGACTGACAAACAAAAGGAATTTAAGAGCAAAAGTTCATTCGAAAATAAAAATTCCGTCATTTTTTAATTTATTCAGTTGCAATTGCAAAAGTTGCACACAAAAAAATACAAAATAAAAAATTAAATAAAAAAAAAACAGTATTTGGCATCAGTGATTGACGGGAATTTCCAAAGATGCCCACTTGTTTGGGCATCTTGACTCCACTATGTGACCATCTATATTTTAACTCTTTTTATATTGATATGATATTTTGTATTTTAGGCCTTTTAATAATGTCTACGATTTTGTTCTATGCTGCAACATAGAAATTCCATCACAATGTGTGATTCTACATTAATTCAACATTAGTTTTTAATTATGAAATATGATGCATTTCTATATTGATTAATTGGAATTAATCAGAATGTCGAGGAATTAAGTGTCCAGAAAATTGAATGATGGCACTTCATAATCTGCACCTGATTTTATTTAAATGAAAGATTCAACGTCCTCTGAATTTTAAAATGACCAAACATGAACTATTGTTGTTGATTCTCTGTTTGTTGGAAGCTAAACGTGTAATCGCATGCTCTTGGAAAAAAAGAAGAAAGTCCTGGCGTGCCTCAGTGGATAAAGGGGATGACTTCATGCCTTGCCTTAGAAAAGATGACCTATTTTTTATTACCTTCATGTATTCTGATCCATCTGGAAAGTTTGTACAACACAGTTTGTTGTAAGATAATATGCTAACTGAAGCTCAAAATGTCCATTCATTTGTAGTTAATATTGCTAAAAACTAAAATGAACACATATCAATATCGATTGTAAAGTTACATTAAACAATTTAGCAGAGACAGATATTCACATGGATTTATTGTACAGGGAGGGACGGAGCTAGAGCAGACAGCAACACAAAAATAATATGAGTAACAGGCTCACAGCCTAATAATTCAATAGTGTATTAGACTTTTTCAACAAATAGCCTATATTGTACTAATTTAGACATTTAGGCACTTTAGAAATTGTGTTGTAATGCACTACCAGTCAAAAGGTTTTGAACAGTAAGATTTTAAATGTTTTTTAAAGAAGTCTCTTCTGCTCACCGAGCCTGCATTTATTTGATCCGAAATACAACAAAAACATTTTTTGTGAAATATTTTTATTAAAATATAATTTATTCCAAAAGCTGTATTTTCAGCATCGTTACTCCAGTCTTCAGTGTCACGTGATCTTCAGAAATCATTCTATTATTCTGATTTGCTGCTCAAGAAACATTATTATTACGTTATTATTACTATGTTGAAAACAGATTAGATTTTTTTCCAGGTTTCTTTGATGAATAGAAAGTTCAGAAGAACAGCTTTAATCTGAAATAGAAATCTTTTGTTACGTTATAAATGTCTTTATCATCACTATTGATCAATTTAAAGCATCCTTGCAAAATAATAGTAATCATTTCAATAATCCCCCTATAGACCTTTTTTATGTGATGGTCATACAAATAACAGGGTTGTCTGTCTGGTTTCAGAAATGGTCTATATACAGGAAATAAGGGCTAAAATTGCACCTTTTGGGGTACAACAGCTCGTCACTGGAACAGGACCCTTAAAAGGACATATTTGTTCCTTTTTTACCCCTAATAGGTAGGCCTACAAATTAATACCTTAAGGGTACGAATTACTAGGCCTAGTCTTAAGGTACTAATATGTACGGTGTACTACGGTGTCATGCTGTTGTACCCCAAAAGGTACAATTTTGGCCTCTTTTTTTCTGTGTGGCCTGGATGAGTGTGAGATGTCCCGGCCTGAAATTGTGTCCCAGTCCGGCCCTGCCACCCCGTCATGTGCTGGTCCACCCTGTGATCTTGATATTTCACAATAATAATTTAAATAATAATTCAATCATGTCTATATAATCCAGTGTGTTCAATAGCTAGGTGTGGGGGCAATAACATGCAAACAAACAACTGCATCCAAATATCACAGTTTTCTCCAAATAAGAAAAAATACACGTGTGAATTGTACGAGTTTCTTTAAAAACACATACACATGTTAACATAATTATTTTTTTTATATATTTATAATTACATAAAAAATAGTCAGAAAAATGATCTTGCTTTCCCTTTTAATGAAGTTCATTTTTCTGGCCCAACTGACAGATCTTTTTCTTGTTTTAAGCATAATCTCACTTAATTTTTTTTATAATTTTCACTATGCAACTTAAGTCTTTTGCTTCTCAAGTAAATGTACAGTATCTTAATTTCAGATATTTGTACTGTAAAGCCTGACAAAACATACTTTTTTGCTTTGTATTTAAAATCCGTGTTCCACAAATGAAAGTAATTGCACAAGGTCAAGCAAATGATGACAGAATTGTGATTTTTGGCTGAACTTGAACTCCACTAAAGACACGAGAGGACGACAGAAAGATTCAAACCAGTGCTGCTTTTTATCATTCAGAAAGTCCATTTGCAGAGTCGATCAGCACAATTAGATTGCACAGGCTTTTTTTGTGCACACATATTAAAAGCACGCCTGAGACATTTTGATAAATTGAAAGCATTAAGTGGTTTTCAGCCCTCAGAGATTTTCATTACGATCAAGAGAAACGTCCTGAGGTTAGACAGAGAGAAACGCACAGACTCTGACTGGAGGACTGGGAGCAGACGAGCCTCACGAACATCATACAGTGATGAATGCTGCTGCTGGGAAGCTGATAGAGACACAATCTGTGATCTCTTCTGGAGAAAACACTAGATTGTGATTTTGATGAAGTGACTGTCAGAAGCACTCGGTGTGTGTGAGAGTTGTTCATCACGCACGCACTCACTCACACTCACTCACACTCACTCACGCACGCACGCACGCACGCACGCACGCACTCACTCACTCACACACACACGATGTTTGCTTTTCCAGAAGATTATTCATCTCAGAAATGCAATCGAGCATTATGATGGTGACATTATGTAATCGAGTCAAAGCAGCGACTTACAGGTTAGTTCAGTCTGCAGGTAGAAGCTTATCAGGGTGCATGCAATTAAATCAACCGTCCCTCAAATAAATCCCTCAAAAGACATTTATCAGGATCTGGTGCTGCAATACGACATGCCGCTCTATTGGAACGGAAGGTTTTGTCCGGATGAAAGCGCTTGAACTCGTCACAGGAAAGTTGCACACGGTGGCACTTTCTGTGCGGTTAAAACCACAGAGAAAGCATGAGGCGCAAACTATTTATTTGCACACTGAAGCTCTGAGGAACTGTCAGTCTGCTTGAGCTGCATGCTGCTGCGGTCGGTTTTTGCTGAGGTAAGAAATAATACAATGAAAACAGAAAAACACTCCTATCTCAAACTGCATCTTAACGAGGTTTTTACCAGCTCTCTAATAAAACAACGCAACATCTTTCCAGAAGCACGAGGCATTATGAAGCATGTGAAATCATCTCCATCTCACGTCGACATCCATCTGAGATGCTTGCATGCTTCTAGACCAGTTCTGCATATTTCCACCAAAGAGAAAGCGGTTCTGGCCTGGAAATTGGTCTCTGGGAACCAGTCATCTCAGAAGTTTTATTCATAAATATCATATGCTTTCCACCAAAGAAAAAGCGCTTTTAGGTCGGAAAATTGGCTCCACATTAAAACCTGCTGGTCTCTGCACCAGTAATTTCACTGTTTTTAGTCTTAAATACATAAAATAAAAATTATTTTTTTTACTTTAATATATTTAAATAATGTTTAAATTGCATTTACATTACATTTATGCATTTAGCAAAGTTATGCAGTTATCCAACTGCATTCCAGTTTTTAGTAAATTCATGCATTTCCTGGAAATGCATGTCTGATTATATTGAAGTCAATGAATTAATTTAGTGATGTTGCATGCTCAAAATCAAGATTGAAACTCAAAGCAAGGCGTGCATGTTTATTTGTGGGTTGGGTCAGCTCTCAAACTCCATCTTAACATGATCTTTATCAGCTCTCTAACAAAACAACACAGCATCTTTCCAGCAGAACGACCTGTTATGAAGCATCTGAAATCTGAACGACCTGTTATGAAGCATCTGAAATCTCCATCTGACTTTGAAGCCCATCTGAGACGTTTGCATGGATCTGGGCTGTGTTTCTCAAAAGCATTGTAAGCCTACACTCTTAAAAATAGAGGTGCTTGAAAGGTTCTTCACAGCGATGCCATAGAAGAACCATTTTTGGTTCCACAAAGAAGCATTCAGTCAAAGAAGCATCTCTTTCTTGCCTTTTTATAATCGGAAGAACCTTCTTTCGCCACAAAGAAGCTTTTGTGAAACAGAAAGGTTCTTCAGATGTTAAAGGTTCTTTATGGAACCATTTAGACAACAAAGGTTCTTCTGTGGCATCGTGAAGCACCTTTATTTTTAAGAATGTAAGATGATCGTAGCTCCATTAGTCTCAATGGGTCTACAATGTACTTAAGCTTACGATGCTTTTGGGAAACACAGCCCTGGAGCCGTTTCCACCAAAGAATGTGGTTCTGGGTCAGAAAGTTTGCTCCACACTAAAATCTGAAACACACTAAACCAGTAGTTTTAGTCATAAATACAAATACTTTTACTAGTCATATTTTTAAATAATGTTTAAATTGCATTATTATGCATTATTTAGCAAATGTATGCATTTTTCCAACTGCGTTCCAGTTTTTTAATCAGTTCATGCATTTCCAGGCAACACTCGTCTGATTATATCTACGAATTAAATTGCATGCTCAAAAACCTGGATTTAAACTCCTAAATCAAGACTGTGATGTGCATGTTTATTTGTGGGTTGATTATGAGCTGGGTCAGCTCTCAAACTCCATCTTAACATGATTTTGATCAACTCTCTAATAAAACAACACAGCATCTTTCCAGCAGAATGACCTGTTATGAAGCATCTGATATCATCTCCATCTCACTTTGATGCCCATCCGAGACGTTTGCATGGATCGGACCGGTTTCAACCAAAGAATGTGGTTCTGGGTCAGAAAACCGGCTCCACACTAAAACCAGTAGTTTTAAACATAAAATACAAATATTTTTGCTCGTCGTATTTTTAAATAATGTTTATTACATTTATGCATTTCCAGGGAATGCTCGTCTGATTATATCTTGCATGCTCAAAACCTGGATTTAAACTCCTACATCAAGCCTGTGATATGATGTGCATGTGTGTTTGGTTATGAAAGTCAGTCAGACTGTTTCTGAGAGAGTTTCGGTGCAAACGACCGTCTTTAATGATCCTCAGAGACAGACTCTCTTCGCCTGCGGCTCCGTCAGAGTCTCAGACGAGTCTACAGATCGTTTCTCCACCACCTGTGAAGCTTCTCCTCCGTTCCTCTCGTCCCACAAGCCGTTCTCCGGAGGCTGGTAGCCCGGTTCCAGCGGGTCCAGCGGGTCTTTGGAGAGCAGGATGCTGATGGAGGGAAGCGTCCGGTGGACGGTCACCTCCGAATCGCCTCCTTCTTGGCTCTCCCAGACCTCTCGCAGACCCTTGTACTGCAGCTTGGTCATCTGATGGAGGCCGCCAAGCTTTCTTTTCATGATCTCGGCGCACGTGATGGTTTTGGTCACGGCCCGTCCGGACCCGGTGAACACGACCTGTCTCAGTCCGGTTTGACCGGCATTCTGGGTGTCGTTCTGCATGCGTGCCATGGCGAAACCCATGAGATTGCGAATCTTGCTGCCCTCCTTCACCCTCATTTTCAGCACACCTGCCGGCAGGCTAGGGAACGGACACGTGCTTTCCTCTTCGATCCGACACACTTTCTTAAACCCGCCTGCGTGAGTCTGTTTAAGCAAAGGCGACGAGGCGGAGACGTTTGCAGTCTGACCCGGAACGGACAGACGGGCGTCCGGATCGATGCTGAGCTCCATGGTAGTGATTTTAAATCATCTTAAACGCTCAAATTGCATGCAATTCCACCGAAATCATCTGTGATTAGTGTCCTGCGAGTGAAACACTCTTTAACCAGAAGAACATGGAAACATAACTCATGACTTGGATTTATAAACAGTTAAAATGAACTGAAAAAGTCTTGCTTGACATGCATGTGAATTACCCTCGTGTCCTTTTACAAGCAGCATCCAATCGGCCTGGTAAACTTTTTTCTCCTAGATTTGAACTTCTGGAAATTAAGTGGCAATTCCTCCGAGGTGTTTTGGGCGCACTTACTTCTGCGGGACGATCCAGTTAAAGATCCAGCTCTTGTCTTGGGTTCCTCCGTTCTCTCCTGTTGTCCTTTGCACTTTGCGGATGTAGTCTTTGGAGTGCATCTTCCTCTCTTTTGCTGTCCTTTTCTGTTTCTTGTCTTCATTCACGTGCCGGCGGAGCTGGAATCTGTCTGTTTCTCGCCCGGCACTCGTGCTGCCTCCTAAATGCTGGTGAGGGGAGATGAACGAGAGAGACAGAGAGGGAGGGAGGGAGAGAGAGAGAAAGAGAGAGAGAGAGAGAGAGAGAGAGAGAGAGAGAGAAAGTCAGCCTTCTTAAAGCAACAGTAACCTCAAATCCCAAATGAACAGTATTATTAAACAAACACTTCTATAGGGGGCCTTTTAACAAGGAAAATACTTTATTCTGTTGAAAATGGGAAAATGTACTGTGTTAAACCACAAATGTCTCTCCTCCTGAAAGACATCCACTGATGTACACTTATTTAATCTTCAATTTAGTTTCGGATCTAAATTTTATCTATTGACATGACTAACAAGATAGAAAAGGTTCATGCTTATTTTAACAAATAAAATATATGTAAAAAGTTGGTTATATTCATATATATATATATAGAGAGAGAGAGAAATAACATGCAACAATAACAAATAAAAATAAAAATATATTTATATTAAATAGAAAATGTATTCAAACCATGCATGTGTGTGTGTGTTGGACTATTCTTGGGACAATTCTTTTTATATAGAAAATATACTTTTAATAGAAAAATATATTAAATCATATGTGTGTGTGTGTGTGTGTGTGTGTATTTTCTATGAAAAGTGTTCGTGTTCTAAAAACAGTTTAAAACTAAAAATACACACTCTCTCTCTCTCACACACACACACAATTTAAATCTATTTTCTATTAAATCTACATTAATTTCTATTCTTGTGCATGTTATTTCTCTCTCTCTACACACACACACACACACACACACACACACATATATATATATATGCTTTTAATACATTCATATTTTAATCTAAATGTCCCATTACTTTGTGCACATTATTTCTAAATAAATTGTTGGAAACTTGTCAATTGTAAATAAATACACACACACACACACACACACACACACACACACACCTATATATATATATATGTATATGTATATACTTTTAATATTATTATGTACATCAATTTGTTTAAACTTGTTCCAGCATGATCTCATACTATATATATACATACATACATATACATTAATCATGCTATATTGAAAGACCCAACATCTTTTAATATAAAATGATACCCATGATAAACTCTGCAGATGGTCCTGTAGCTTTAAAAACTAAGCCAGCAGCTCTAAAGCACCTTTGCTGATCCGTTTAAAGGACGTCCGGTGCGGGAGCTGGAGGAACGCTGACAATTAAAGCACAGTTCTGGAACACGGAGCCACTCGGGCTCAGAAAGACGTATTTCCAGCAGGTGAATGAAGGTGTGAATGAAATTAGCTGGATTCTAATTGAAAACAGCCTTCACAGGGCAGATGAAAGTCAGACTGCTGAATGTGCTGCGGTTGGCCTTTAGCCCTCGACATGCATTTGGCTCTTACCATCTGCATAATGTGATGTTAATGGTCTTTATACAGGAGGAATTCTGGGACGGCCGTTCATAGACGTCTCTTGACTCGAGGATAAAATGTAAAATGGATTTTTATCACCTGCGCACACATGAGTGATTTGGCAACATCTATCCTTTTCTTCCCTTTTATACCACCATTTAATCCGTATTTAATTAACCTATGATCTTAAATGAGCTTAACTTGATTTTTCACGTCTGTGTTTTTCATTTTTCATTCTGGTGTAAAGCACTTTGACTCACTACTGTCCATGACATGTTGTTTACATGTGCATTTATGTACTCCAAACATTCATACATTTTGCAGGCGCTTTTATCCAAAGCGACTTGCATTCATTTTTATGAGTTAATGCATTCCCTGGGAATCGAACCCATGACCTTGCATGGTGTTGCTAGCGCTGTGATCAACTGTTTGAGTTACAGGAATGCGTGAAAACACTATGAAATATGCTTAATAAAACAAAGTTCTGATTGGATGAGCTTTATATAAACCCTGCAATAAGTTTTATAAATTTGTTTACCAAACTAAAAACTTCAGTGCATGCACAGTGAGCATAATTGTCATTTTCGACTTGATATAAATGAATAAAAAGGGTAATTGCAACTTTATTATCTTATAATTCTGACTTTTTCCTTGCTATTCTGAGTTCACTATATCTCAAAATTTGCAGATTTTTTTCTTCGATTCTGAGAATTTGCGAGGAAAAAAGTCAAAACTGTATATATTTTTTTATTATATGGCAGAAACAAGGTTCCAAAAAAAATCATGCTTTTGTAAGTAGAAATTTTGACTTTAAAATTCGTAATTATGACATACTAAGTCATATGAGATAAAACTAAAATCTAAATTATGATATTAGAAGTCATAATTATGACCAATTACCATCGCTCCGTGGACCACCAAGACACCACGGGACTAAGCTGGAGGGAAGGGATTCTCCGGTGTCTCCCGCCGGCTGCGGCTCTCTCAAGCCCGCAAGTCAGGCTGCCCAGGCTGCCCAGATCCCCCGTTGAGCCCAGGGAGGGCTCCAGATCCCCCGTTGAGCCCAGGGAGGGCTCCAGATCCCCCGTTGAGTCCAGGGAGGGCTCCAGATCCCCCGTTGAGCCCAGGGAGGGCTCCAGATTCCCAGTTGAGCCCAGGGAGTGCTCCAGATCCCCAGTTGAGCCCAGGGAGTGCTCCAGATTCCCAGTTGAGCCCAGGAAGGGCTCCAGATCCCCCGTTAAGCCCAGGGAGTGCTCCAGATCCCCAGTTGAGCCCAGGGAGGGCTCCAGATCCCCCGTTAAGCCCAGGGAGGCCTCCAGATCCCCAGTTGAGCCCAGGGAGGGCTCCAGATCCCCAGTTAAGCCCAGGGAGGGCTCCAGTCCCCTGTCATGGCCCACAGAGGGCCTTGGAGCCCGTAAGCACTCCCAAGAATTTTTTAGGGGGTAGTAGGGCTCCAGTCATAGAGGCAGAGGCGGGGGCTGGGGCCGCGGCCTCTGAAGCTGCTCCGCCATGGCCTCCAGAGTTCCCTACGCCGCCATGGCCTTAGAGTATGCCAGAACCACCATGGCCCCCCGAACTGCCAGATCCGCCATGAGTCCCGGAACGGGTGCCTTCCGTCCGTAACCCTGCTCCTAGAGATCTCCAGCGCCCACCACTTATGTCAGACTTTGTTCTGTGTTTTGTGTGTGTTTTGCTCCCCATGTGCCTTCCATGCCCATATTTGGTCCTTCCCGTTCCTGTCCTTATCTGTTCCAGGTGTCCCCTTTTCGGTTCTATTGATCCCAGGTGTGTCTCGTCATCCCATCGTCATGTCATTTGTATACATAGTGTTCCTTGCTATCAGTTCGGTGTCTGGTACTTAGTATTTCATAATTAGCCTATGAATTTTTATGTCAATTTCTTCTTGGTATATCATAATTGTAACTTTTTATCTTATAATTATGACTTAGTATGTTAATGTCATAATTATGACTTCTTGTCAATTAGTGCCATAATTTTGACATGTAAAGTCATAATCGAGATAAAAAGTTGAAATTATGACATAAGACAATGGCAAGTAATAATTTTGAAGGATATACTAGGTTATATGACATCAAGTTGAATCTATGACATTAAAAGTCAAAATGATGAGATAAAAAGGCAAAAAATTGACTATTTATATCATAATTTAGATTTTTTAAATCCTACAATTATGACTTACTATGTCAATTTCGACTTTTAAAATCAATTTCAATTTAGTAATTTCAAATTGATGTCATAATTATAACTTTTTATCTCGTAAATATGACTTAGCATGTCAATGTCATAATTATGACTTCTTGTCAATTAGTGTCATAATTTTGACATGTAAAGTCATAATCGAGATAAAAAGTTGAAATTATGATATCAAGTCGAAATGATTACTAAATTTAAATAGATTTTAAAAGCTGAAATTGAGAGTGACAATGGCAAGTAATAATTTTGACTTTCAAATCAGAAGTCGAAATTATGATATACTAGGTTATATGACATCAAGTTGAATTTATGACGTTAAGTCAAAATGATGGCAAAATAAAATTACTATTTATATCTTAAGTTAGATTTTTTAATCCTATAATTATGACTTAGTATGTAAATTTGGATTTTTTTTAATCATAATTTTGATTTATGTATATATGCACAATCACAATCATGACTTACCAAAGCATGATTTTTTTTTCTTACATGGCATAATTGGACTTCCATATATAGAAATTATGACAGGATAACGATTCACGTCTACTCATCAACATAACAACGCTTTAGATGAGCTCAGCTTTGCTCACTTTGAACACAGTCACAGTCCTGATGTTCCCCTCAACAATCACGGTTTCCTCTTTCTTACGGCTGCCGTATATTTCCTCTGAAACCAGTGATCCGTGGTATTCAGCGCTGAGTTATTTGGGTTTGTCAGTGCTCTGGTTAGCTATGTGTGCGCTGTCACTTAAGCAGATGATCAGTTGAGACAGCAGAGGTTCGCGGGCCCATCCCAGCGGAGGACAGCGGGACAGAATGAAGGCCCGGCGAATGAGAGACGACAGATCATTCAGCCCGAACCAACGGCCAATTCTCAGGAGGGTTACTCTGAAAAAACACTGGAGTTATTCCATTCAGCTCTTTGATTAATGACACACTGAGAAAATGAGCGTTTTTGGTCTTGTTTCCAGCATTAAAACAAGATTCAAACCAGGGGCAGAAACTTTAGCGCATGCATAATTGTCATTTTTGACTTGATATCAAGGAATAAAAAAAGCTAACTGCAACATTACTATCTCACAATTCTGACTTTTTATATATATCTTGCAATTTGTAGTTTGTTTCTTGCAATTATGAGAAGAGAAGTATGAATTGTGAACAACAAACTCACAACTGCAAGGGAAAAAATCTGAACTGTAAAATAAAAAGTCACAATTACCTTTTTTTATTTTTTTTTAGTTTGTGGCAGAAATAAGCTTCCAAAAAAATCATGCTTTGGTAAGTCGAAATTTTTATTTTAAAAGTCACAATTGTGACATAATTAATAAATTATGACATAATTAATTGATAACGACAAAGTCATGAGATAAAAAAATAAATCTAAATTATATATAAAATGCATAAAATATCATTATTATGAGATAAAGTCAATGACGAGATAAAAAGTTGAATTTAGGAGATAAAAAGGAAAACTTTTTAATGTCAATTTTGCCTTTTAAAGTAAAAAAATTTAATTTAGTATGTCATAATTCTGACTTAGTATAATATGTTATATTTTCGACTTTTTATCTAATAATTCTGACTTTGTATGTCAATTAGTGTGTCGGAATTTTGACATTAAAATTCATAATTATGACTTACTAAAACATGTTCTTTTCCTCACGTGGCATAAATGGGCTTCCAAGAAAGAAAAAAAAAACATGCATCATTTAAAAATGAAATCAGCATTTTTGATCTCATTTCCAGTAATCCTTCTTGAAACAAGATTCAAACCAGGGTCAGAAATTAACATTTCCATTAAGTGGCAATATTTGCCCCTTGCAATTGATTTCCGGGGGTATTTTCCAGATCATTGTTTATAATGACCTTATTAAATGTGTTGTCTTTGATGCCAAATAAATTTAACCAATTACTTTTACTAATACTAATAACTATACAAAATTATACATAAATTATATATTTAAAAACAGGAACTCATTACAGAGTATGACTGCAATATTATGGCAAAAACCATTATTGTTGATTATTGCTCGTGATATTGTAATAATGATTATTAATGTAATTTAATAGAATACATATGTGTGAAACATTTTTGTGTTTGGGGAAACATCACATCATATTGAGTCCATGACATTAGTTTAGTCTAGTGCAAGTTATGCTAAACAATCTGTTATAATCACTGAATCTACAAAATTGTATATGCACTTTGTTGTTTATGATGAGAGAATTCACTAATGTGCAGAATTCAGTCTGAACAGCCATTGCGTTCATAATCTCAACAGAACTGGTTAAAAGGCTCAATGATGCAAAAACTCGCATAAAAAGCAATCTGATGCAACAGGCAAAGATCGAAGTGACACTTATTTTCACATTTCATTTTAATCGTGACAGCTGTAAATGATTTAGTTTAATTGTGCAGGGCCTTCATCTTGAATTTGTGAGGCATTTTTGATCATTTTGGTGCCACAAGCTCCCATTAATTTCTGACTCTGATTTAAACTCATCAGACTTTTTATGCCCGTCGGCCTCTTCATCTTTAACAGGCTGGACGTTCACGACACGACAGCC